CACACGGGTTCAACCCCTAGGTTGGGGAGAGCCCCTGGAGAAGGAAGTAGCAATCTGTTCCATTGTTCTTGCCTGGGAAATCCCATGGACAGAGGATCCTGGTGGGCTATAGTCCATGAGGTTGCAAAAGAGTCGTACATGACTTAGTGACTAAACACCAACAACAAGCCATTCTATAATGCTGCCTAGAATTAATGTTAAACTCCCATAATTCATAGAATCAGGAATGTTGAGTACCGAGAAAACATTTCCTATCTGCAGTCTCCTGGCATTTCCTTTTATTTCCCTTTGGCTCTTGAGGGTCACCTACATTTTCTGGTGATCACAGATGGAAGTTCTTTTCTGGTCCCTTTAACTCATTTAAAGCAGGATTTGCAAACTGGTCACTCGTGGGCGGCATCTGCCCACAGAGGGCTGTTGTGTTGAGCTGACAGTGATTGTTAGAATTCACTCTGAATGCCTTTGTCCTGGACATGCTCTCTTCTATCGCAGAACCTTCCGCTGGTCTCTTATGCTTTGCCTGCTTCACATACTTACTTGATCTGCCCTCCCATAGGGATTTGGTCCTCAGATCCCTAACTTACAGCTTCCAGTTTATCCTCACCATCACCCTACCTGTTGGGCTCCACTTATCAGAAGTTTCAGTTTGAATTTTCTCCTTGACAGTAAGAATTTAGGCAAACTGGAATTTATCATTCCTTGTTATCATCTTTTAATCTAACATTATCTTTCCCAAACCAATAGGCTCTGTAGCCCCCTTTTTTCACTTTACCTAGATCCAAAAAGTATTAGACAATGACTGTTAATAGTATTTTCCAGTTACAATGTTTCATAACAAAAAGAGAATAACTGAGGATATATGAAATTTATAAATAATCCTCAAATAGTGTAAGTCATAAAAGAGGAGCTTCAGTCACTTGCCACCATGTCTTTTTCTAAAGCCGATCTTTGCTATCTCCATTGATAGATCCAAGTTTAACTTTTCTCCCCTCTTTTGGTCCCAGAGTTAATTAGAAGGATAACTGGCCCAAAGGGAAGGGTCGTCATCGTCATTTAGTCACTAAGTCGTGTCTGACTCTTGGCAACCCCATGGACTGTGGCCCGCCAGGCTCCTCTGTCCATGGGATTCTCCAGGCAGGAATACTGGAGTGGGTTGCCATTTCCTTCTCCAGAGGATCTTCCAGACCCAGGAATCGAACCCAGGTCTCGTGCATTGCAGGCAGATTCTTTACCTAATGAGCTATGAGGGAAGCCCATAGGGAAGGGGTAGGTGCACCTAAAGTTCACATATTAAGTATCAGTCTATGGATAAGCAAGAGTTCACTTTAGCTGCTCTGCATCATTGTCTTTGATCTGAAAACCTGTATCAGTATACCCCTTGCCCCCATAAGACCCCCCACAACTGTGCTCATGTGATCTGAAGTTGTTTCTGTTCTTCATCCTATACCCATCCTACTGCTAGCACTCCAGGGAATATTTGAAATTTAGAACAGGTATGGCCTTCCAGTTGTCTTTTCCCTTTTACCATATTTCCTTTAATCACATTTTGAGGTTATCAGAAAAAACAATGAATTTTCAAGAAGGTAAGCACACACAATACAATAATCCTTAACATATTGCATATTGAAGCTGAAATTTTCTGTGCCGCCAGAATCTTCTTTTGAATGCCCTTTTCCTTATCACTTTGGCCGTTAGAGGCTAGTTGTCTTATGACCTGGATTTCTTTTTTTAACCAGCCTATTGAGTCCCCTTTGATGGGCTTCTGGCTGTTGCTTTCTTGGCCTCCTGGGAACAAGAACCACCTCATACCTTTCCAGGTTTCTGTTGGGTGCCTATTGTGATTGCCTCTTGAGTTATTCTGAAATAAGTCACACAAGATCTGGAAATTTGAAAGAAGGAAAGAAAAATAAAGTGTTCCTCTCATTCAACATCTTCCTTTCCAAATCCCTTTTTCTTTTCTTACTTAGTCACTGCCATATATATCTCCTTGAGGATTCCTTTTGATCCATAAAATCTTATCATTCTTATCTCCATATAATCTCCTGAGTTATTTGACCAGAGTCAACTCCTGGAAACTACCACTGTGAGCCAAAACTCTTGATTTGTTTCTCATACCTATTTGTATCTGTAATACATGCCCATTGACAAATTAACTTTTCAAGAATTCTTTTTAAAGATTAGGGGAAGAACTCTTTATGGAACAAATATATGGTAAGTTTGACTCTAGAAACTTTCTTCGTTTTTATAACTCCTGCATTAAACGCCTATCACTTATATCAGTGACCTAACTGACATACAGTCAAGTGGTTAAACACATCCAGGATTCTGAAAGAAAACAGATCAAACAGTCCTTTTGGTTTGTTTTTGTTTTTTTATTAATTCAAGTCTTATGTTCCAAAGCACCTCAGAGCCCACAGGAAAGTTAAGATTTGGTGAAGAATAGCTCTGTAACCTTGTTCTAGAATGCTCTCCTCCCCTAGTTCCACCCACTGGAGCCACGCTTCTTTATCTTTGCTCTTGAGGCTCCCACTGAGCACCTCCTTGCCTTCCCGGAGGACCCCCTTCTTCCTTGCACCTCCTCTCTCCCTCCCATTCCTTGGGATCCTTAGTGTCTAGGTTCTGTTTACTCCCCACAACCAAGTCCTTACTCTTTCATTGCCTCTTGGTGCCTTAGCTCAGCCTTTCACCTGCTAGTTTTCTCTGCAGTGTTGGATTCTGGAACTTAAGTGAGGTAGGGTGTGCAGGGCGGTCCCCACAGTGCAGGGAGATTTCTTCCCATGCTCAAACCAATAACCACATGCATTTATACTCAGAGAGCATCTTTATCTCTTTCCATACCAACCTTGTATACACCAGACTCCAGGAAAGGACAGGAGATGGAGGAAGAAAATTATCCTGCCTTTTGTAACTCTGCCAACACTAAAAAGCTAGGTGGACCCAGTACCTAAGTATCCCAAACAGAAATCCTCATTCTACAGAAATGTACCATCTGTCCCGCTCCTGAGTTTAATGAAGTAGTATTTTTACCTACTTACCAAAAGCTTATTGCATTGCAAAAGCGAACTGTAATACTTGCAAACTCCATAGGATAGATGATGAAAAAGTCAATTGTAAGTCTCTAAGACACACAAAATTATTGTTGTAAGTAATTTGTTTCTTGGGCTACTTGTATACCACAAAACAAGTGAAATAGGAAAAAGCTGAATTTTCTTTCTGAATCATCTGTGCTAGCTGGATGAGTAGGTAGCATTGGGTTTGCCAGATACAGACTTGCTCAGTGTACAAGTCTTTTGGAAATGTACCTGAGCATCGTGGCAGAGTGTGCCTAGACTCTAGAGGTGCTAAACTGGTTATGGAGCAACAGAAAGGAACAAAAGAAAAAAAAATGTTTCTGAAGCAGGGCTCTTGAGAGCAGTCCAGAACCTTAGACTGATGAAGGGAAACTGTGAGATAAAAGAGCAGAGTGAGTTGTAGGAGGGTGGGGAGGGGAGGGTGTTGCAAAGGTAAAAGAATCACATATTCCTACTCTGGCCAGCAGAAGAGGTAGGTTTTTGTATGTGTATGTGTTTTTCTTAAAGCCTATAGGTCCCTCAGAGAGAGAAACCACATGCCTCTTATATCTCCTTCTGGCATTGAAATATATATTCTTCTCTGATAGAGGTGCTGCTATTGTTAACACACCACCAACACCACCATCACAATAACTGGAGGGACCTAGCTCTAATTCCTATCACCTTTTGTAAAGCATGCAGCCATGTTCCTTTTAAGGGTCAATGGTCAAGTGATTTGCTGTGCATATTGGAAGAAAATTGGGAAAGTATCTTTATCCTCTCAAAAAAAGTTGTGAATAGATCTTATTTAGATTCTCCAAGATTTGCCTTTCAGCATTTAAAAGTGAAAGTTTAAGCTCAAACCAAAACTTGGCTTTGGTTTGTCTTTTCCAAGTTAATTTGAACAAGTGAAAAATATGGCACAATTTTATTTTAAATATGTGGTCTCTGTCTTTATAAGTAAATGGCCTAGCAACCCATTAAACAATTGAAATCAAGTTTGTCACAGTGATTTGTTCAGTGAGCCTTTCTTGACATCTGGCAGGTATTGGGCTGGCCACATGGAAATGCAAAGAGGACTATGAGACAGATCACACCCTTAAGAATGGGGACTATAGAAATAACTGGGATAGAAAGCACCTGGATCAGCTACCTGGAAAGACAGAGAGAGGAGTAGGATGATTTATTGATAGCCACCCTAGAGTTTACCACAAATTATGTAATCTTGGCTTAATGTCTTGATATTTGTTTATCTTGATATTTATTAATGAAAAGATTGGATTAAATAAGGTCAACTCCAGGTAACTCAGTAACAGGACCATATCAGTTCCTTTGGAGGCACTACTTTCTAAAAGGATTGTTGTGAATAAGAACAACAACAAAAGATTATTATGTATATGCAAAATAAATATAATCCCAGTCCTTAAAATACAAATTTTACATGTACCCTACAGTAAGAATAGCTACATTCTACAATTCTACTGCAAAACTGGGTAAAGTCATCCAAATGTAACATTCTCATTTTGCTGGTGACTGTTAAGCCAACATCCTAGTCCTTATTTAGGTCATTGAACCCTGCTCCAAGCCACAGTGAAGCCAGGAGGGCGGGAAAGAGTGGGACTTTGGCCCCACTCCACTTCAAGACCTTCTTGCCTTGGTGTTTAGTTGTTGGGACTGAGCATTAAGTTTCCCTGAGGGAAAGGGGATTCGTAGCTAGAAACTGCTGGATTCAATCATCTCTAAAGCCTTTTCCAGCTTAGAAAGATTGGAGTTCTGTGATTCCCAGTGACAGGGTCATGGCCATCCTCTCCTCTCCACCCCATCTCACTACCTGCACCCCCTCAGATCCCCGCAATGGGACAGTGATGGCACCAAGCCCCTCTATCCCTGCTCCACAGCTTCCCGCAGAGAAACTACCCAGAGTGACTCTGGTTCTCTCTTCCCGCCCAGGGTGGAGAATATGTCCATGCGGCTGGAGGAAGTCAACGAGAGGGAGCACTGCATGAAGGCCTCGCTCCAGACTGTGGACATCCGGCTGGCGCAGCTCGAGGACCTCATCGGGCGCATGGCCACAGCCCTGGAGCGCCTGACAGGTCTGGAGCGGGCTGAGTCCAACAAAATCCGCTCGCGGACCTCCTCGGACTGCACAGATGCAGCCTACATTGTCCGCCAGAGCAGCTTCAACAGCCAGGAGGGGAACACCTTCAAACTCCAAGAGAGTATAGACCCTGCAGGTGAGGAGACCTTGTCCCCAACTTCTCCCACCTTAATGCCCCGTATGCGAAGCCATTCTTTCTATTCAGTCAATATGAAAGACAAAGGTGGGATAGAAAAGTTGGAGAGTCTTTTTAAAGAAAGGTCCCTGAGCCTACACCGGGCTACTAGTTCCCACTCTGTAGCAAAAGAATCCAAAGCTCCTGCAGTCCCTGCAAACACCTTGGCCATTGTTCCCGACTCCAGAAGACCATCTTCATGTATAGACATCTATGTCTCTGCCATGGATGAGCTCCACTGTGATATAGACCCACTGGACAATTCCGTGAACATCCTTGGGCTGGGAGAACCAAGCTTTTCGGCTCCAGTACCTTCCGCAGCTCCTTCAAGTAGTGCCTATGTGACTCTTGCACCCACAGACAGACCGCCAAGCCGGAGCATTGATTTTGAGGACATCACCTCCATGGACACTAGATCTTTTTCTTCAGACTATACCCACCTCCCGGAATGCCAGAACCCATGGGACACTGACCCTCCAATGTACCACACCATTGAGCGTTCCAAAAGTAGCCGCTACCTAGCCACCACCCCCTTTCTTCTAGAAGAAGCCTCCATCGTGAAATCACATAGCTTTATGTTTTCTCCTTCGAGGAGCTGTTACGCTAACTTTGGGGTGCCCGTGAAAACAGCAGAATATACAAGTATTACAGACTGTATTGACACGAGATGTGTCAATGCCCCTCAAGTGATTGCTGACAGAGCCAGCTTCCCGGGCGGTCTTGGAGGGAAAGTGGAGGAATCATGCTGCCATCCCGAGCGAGAGGCAGAGCTGAGTCACCCCAGCTCTGATGGTGAGGAGAATGAGGCCAAGGGCCGGAGAGCCACCATCACAATGCCCCCCCAGGAGGGTGATAATTCCGACAGAACCCTGTCCAACAACATCACAGTTCCCAAGATAGAGCGCGCCAACAGCTACTCAGCAGAGGGGCCAAGCACACCATATGCACATACCAGGAAGAGCTTCTCCATCAGTGACAAACTCGACAGGCAGCGGAACACGGCAAGCCTGAGAAACCCCTTCCAGAGGAGTAGGTCCTCCAAGCCGGAGGGCCGAGGGGACAGTCTGTCCATGAGGAGACTCTCCCGAATGTCTGCTTTTCACAGCTTTGAAAGCAAGCACAACTAAACCTTCTAATAAGTTTTGCAGGAGGCTCAAGAATCCAGCCCTCAAATTCTCCCTGAAATTCACCAGTTCCCGTTTCTAGAAACTCACCTGCTTTATTCTTAGCTGAGCAAAACAAGTCATTCCTTGGAAGTTGTTAACTAAAAGGTGAATTCTGGGTCACAGATCAAGAAAACATTTGATCTGGCCCAGCGTAAAACACAGGGGATTTAAGTCATGTTCACACTCAATGGGTAGGGAGGGGAAAAGAGGGAGAAGAAGGGTTGAGATGAATGTGTATAACTAGTCATTTCAGAAAGCCATGAGCTCTGGGAATGAATGGGGCATCAAGCATGCTCCATGCCAGGAGGCATCTTTCCATTTCTGACCATTATCAAGAGTTTTAGGATGCAGGGCTAAATTGCAAAATAAAATAAAGTAGCCAGCATACAAATGAGATATTCTAAACTTCAATTCTGTTTTCTTTTCACATTGGCTCCATCACTGGTGACTGATGAAGAGCATCCTTTTTATTCAGTATAAGCCGGCAGCAAGCAGTTCTACCTAACGTCCCACATCCTTCTCATGCCAACACTTCTGTAATTGATCATTATAAAGAAAAAACAAGGTAACAGTCATAGTTCACCTGTCTCTTATATATTCATTTCTGGTGCCACAACTTTTATCTCTTTTGAAGAAAATAAAGGGAAAAGAAATGCCTTTTGTATTGCAATCAAAATGAAAGAAGAGTTGATGTTAAAAACAATTGTCAAATGGTTTATTATATACAGTGGGCATTCAAGTATAGTCAAGTAAGCTCAGGATGAATGTAATTAAATAATTTTATATTTTTTAATTTATTTTGTATCTCACCTGTCATCAATGAAGCCACTCACTGAATATGTAATAGTGAACTTTAAAAAAAAATAGTAGGCAGAACTCACCTAAAACTGCCATATGAGATACTGCTATATTCTCACCATCCATGTTATGTGTGATGCTGCTGTGTGACCCTCATCATGTGTATGAATCCACCATGTCTTCTGAACATCTCCAGGATGTAACTGCCAATTTTCCACACCGCCTATCACATGACCATTTTGTATATGAATATCTGGTTACATGTGGATATTTTCATACCTAGAGTTTTGCCATTTAATCTGAGCTCAGCATAATTTTAATTGGAGTTTTTCAAGGGCTGGTATCTTTTTTATGGAAATGTTCCAAAGCACTTTTTAGGGAAGTTTCAAAACCATAAATAACCTTAGAATTGACTGGGAGTTTGGTATCAACCCAAGCCATCAGTAGCAAGCATACCATGAATATTTTTCTTATACACAGAGCTATAAAAAAGATGTGGTAGACTAAAATAGAAAGCAAATAAACATATAAAGAGTTCTTTAGGATATGCTCCTTATATGCATTTACACAGAAAGACATGTTAATATATAGTTTATAAACAGACATATAGAGCTTTCTTAAAAGGCTTGGACTTTTCTATCATCTTGAGATATAACCAGGATTTTTTAATATCCAAGGAGTTCCATTGAAAGAGTTAATTATATTAAATTTTGACATGTTGAAATTATAAATTTTTAAAATCCCTATGACCTTAGCTTTTCCTTGTACAAAACTAGAGTTGCCAACATGACTCACTACTTTCCCTCTGCCTCTTTTTTGTGCAGAAGCACTTGCTATCATGACATCTCATTTAGTCTGGTTTCTCCTGCACAAAGAGATTATGCCAAGTACAATCAGAATAGGTGTACGGTTCTAAACCAGATAGTATTATGGACTCTCGACTATAGGCATACGTTTCTAGATTAGAATCTGGATTTAAAGTGGGATAAAGAAATCTTCATCAAATCTTTGGATTCCTATTTGGATCACTGATTTAAAGGAGAATAAAAATCTTTAAAGAAAAAGACTTAATGTCCCTGACCCCGAATACTTCCTGGTTATTTTGTTTTGCTGTAGTTTTGAATTCCAGGTTTTCTCATTATGTGAAATCAAGTGAATACATGGACAAAATCTCTAGCCTTTAAATATTTAAAACAAAAACCAAAATCTTCTGAACAAGTTTTCAGATGTAGAGACAATGATGTGGCTGCATATAAAGAATTAAACAATTCCATCTTCACCCCTTGGATTTAAGTAAGAAACAAGTCACTGGAGTCCCTCATATATAATTGCTCTAGAAACAATTATATTTTTACTGGCCATTTCCCCCTCAATAAACTTGCATTTGGTCTAAGAATAGATTAGTTGCCCTAAAACTTCCTTGAGTCATGAATTTCTATGAGGATCTAACGAAAGCTCTGGGCTCACCTCCCAGGAAAAAAAAAAAAAGTATGTACATGTGGAGTTGCAATATAACCTTAAAGGGTTCATGTACCCCTGGTCCCATATTGATTGATAGAGGAAGAGGAACCATGTTTATTCATAATCAATGCAGTTGTAATAGGCACTTTACATTTCAAGACCATTTCTCTGTGATTCTCAGGAAGGCCAAGTCTCAGCACCAGAGTTTAAACCCAGATTTTGTTACTTTTGTTCCTTAGATTAGCTTTTGCTAGTTTGGTGTATTTACATCCTAAACACTATGATGATTTTAAATGTGGAGCATACTTATGAAGCCAGAGGCTTCTCTAAATCTGTAGAGGAACCTAAGAAGGAGGTGAAATTATTCTTCTTTGGTCACAGAGCAGGATATCACAGCACCTCCAGGGCCTCATTCTGGACCAGATCGAAAATAGGGGAAAGAAATTATGAGCATGAGTGTTTCCATTCATTGTGATTTCTGGAGAGAACCAAACCTAGGAAACAAAGTATTTAACAGCCCTGAACTTGTGACTACCTGGTCCTTTTGTTGTGCATGAAAATGAAGTTCTTAAATCTTCTGTGAAGTGTGTGAAATATATAAGCCAAATTTAAGTGACTTTAAACACAACCTGTATAACTTTCATGAGCCATTTGTTTCCTGTGCATTTACATGTGTGTTATGTTTCCATCCATTTCTTTCCATTTCTGGGTGTTCTGCACACCAATGTGGCATTGATTCTGTGGCCTTGTACGGTCAGCTTGTGTCCAAACCATTTATTTACCATGTCCCTGATCGAGAGGATATTAATTACCTTCTCTGTGAATTAAGCAGCCCATGAGCAGCAAGTTATTGAGGAATATAAATAAAGTCATAGAGCGCTCAAGGAAGTAATAGCTTTGGTTTAATCATATGCGTCTAAGGTGCCAATTTTTATATACTACTATATGTAATGATTTGTTCTAAATTGCTCAGTCCTTTTGAAAAAAAATGTAAGGATGTTTAATGAAAATTACCTTGGGAATTCCTGATTAATCAACAAACTTTATATTTATACTTAGAAACTCTCTCCTGGGTGGATTTGAATGAAGCCGGAAAGCTTGGCTATAATTGATGGGGCTAGTTTATTTCTCCAGCCAGAAGTGTATTAGGGGTCAGAATGCAGCACTTTACAGAACTGGATTTTTTTTTTTAAGTCTAAGCTTCCAGGTCTAGGATATTATATAGCACTTTGAAAGTTCCCCCTTTAAAAAAATATATATATATATATCAGAATTATCAAATAAGAAAAAATGTACTTGTAAGAAACACAAAATGTGTTTCTTCTGAATGTTTCAAATGTATTCTAAAAGATGGTCTCTATAGATAATATTATGGTAGATAACTGGATAGTACATTTTTTCCACTTTCTAAGGCTATACAGTCTAATCTTTCTGAATGTTTGGGCTGTTTAACTTCTGTAATTATATATTATCCGGTCATCAATCATGCTATATCTATAGGCTATACTGTTCAATGTGTGTGGGGCAATGCTGTATTATAAAACACATGTAAACATATATGTAACCCGTATTTAACTCAGCATAGTTGTAGCATGTGGTTGTATTAATGAACGTTACAGGATAACTTTATAATTATTTACAAATCTGTAACATTCAATAAAGAAGCACATGTTGCAAGGATTAACGATGTTCCCAATTCCATGTTATTTAGCATCCTTGTGAAATGGGTACTTTTGTTCCTGATCTGCCTTATGTTTTTCACATTCCCATAGACCATTGTAAAATATTTGTATGAGCTGATGTGCATCCTCTGACCAGCCCTGCAAGCTGTAGTAGGCAAGTTGTGATTTTGTGAAAGATGAACTGGCATGTTATGCAAAAACTATATGACAAATTGAAAATAATATCTTAAGCTCCAGTTGAATTAGCTGTTTGTTTACATCTGCTAACCCAATGCGGAAGCAGTGTACAGTATTTTATAAGTATGTTCATGTAGTAACACTAATATGTTTGTTTCTAGATAAAGTGATGCTAGCGTGTAGGTGGTTATATACTTGCTCTAAATACTGCATTATAGCTCACTATTCTTTAACAATATTAATGTTATTGTTAACATTAATGAAGTAATCCCTCTCCAAATCCAGTCTTAATTTTTGTGGTGACAAAATGCATGCACTGCTTTATGCATTTATTTTGATTTTTTAAAGGCACTTAACGTTTTACTATTGCCTGCTGTGATACTTAAACCAGTTAGGAACTCACTCAAATTGTTGGGCTTCTTACACTGTTTGGGGATTATGTCCAATTTTAAAAAATTAAAAACAAAAAAGTAACCAAGGATTTTTTACTATTTTTTTAAGCTCTGAACAAATAATATGGAATAGAGTATTAACTGCAGGGCATATAGCTATGTGACCTGGAGATAGCTAGCCAACACCACTTGGGTTTACCAAAGTCTAATGTTGGTGCATCTGTGATATATGAAGGACACATTTCTGAGTCTTTAGGGCCATTGGCTGCAAGTTGCTAAACCAGAGATGAGAGTGAGGAGTCCATTCAAGGCAGTATAGAAATCCACGTATCAGTATGGATGAATCCAGTGGACGACATGTGACCACTCTCCTACCTTGGGGCTTTTCTCACACTGTGTGTGAGCCTGGCCTGGGGGAGGGTGAGAAGTGGGTGACTGCGTGTCTCATTGA